AAGAGAGGCGGGGGGGGGGGGGGGGGCATGGTCCTTCCTTCGCCGGCACGGCCGGGGGTCCTAGGAGAGAGCGGGCAGTGAGCGGGTGGGCTCCGGGGAGGGGGCCCAGGCACCCCCTGCCAGCCTGCGCCACGGCAGGGACAGCTGGCAGTGCCCATCCCCTCCCCGGAGGGTGCTCCATGGCCGCCCCGTCTGGGGGGGCCACCACCAGGACCACCACCCACCTGGGCAGCGCCAGCCCTCAGAAGAGCCCGCAGTCCTTCAGGTTGTTTTTGATGATGACGTCGGTGACAGCGTCGAAGACGAACTGCACGTTCTTGGTGTCGGTGGCGCAGGTGAAGTGGGTGTAGATCTCCTTGGTGTCCTTCCGCTTGTTCAGGTCCTCGAACTTGCTCTGGATGTAGCTGGCTGCCTCATCATACTTGTTGGCCCCTGGGGAGGAGGAGATGCTGGGCTGCCCCGTGGCCACCTGGCTACACCGGCACCCTTCTGCCACCGGCACCGAAGGGGTTTGGGCTCGGCTTGGCTCCCTATGCCACCGCAGTTGCTGCCCTGATGCCGAATTGATGCTCCCTAGGCACAGTGAGCCTGAGCTAAACCGCCCCAGGGCTGCTGCCCCTTGTCCCCCCATCTTCCCCCATCCCCTGGGGCACCCGAAACACCACCGCACCGCACCTGCTGCCCCAACACACCACTCCCTGGGCACAGGAGAGCCAGGATCTCCATCCCCAGCATCTCCTGCTATGGTGTCCGGGCAAGGCAGTGCCCGCTCCTCCTGCCAGGGGGACCGGGGAGGGCACCGAGAGACCCAGCGGTACCTGTGTACTCGGGGAAGCAAATGGTCAGGGGGCTGTGCACAATCTTCTCCTCAAAGAGGTCCTTCTTGTTGAGGAAGAGGATGATGGACGTGTCTGTGAACCACTTGTTGTTGCAGATGCTGTCGAACAGCTTCATGCTCTCATGCATCCGGTTCTGGCAGGGGAGAGGGCAGCCTGAGCCGGGCAGGGACCCCCAGGCAGCGCCCGCCCCACTGCTGCCCAACCTGCTGCCCCCCCCACCGCTCCTGCCTGCCCGGGCAGGGGATGCTGAGGGCCCTGCAAGGCTTGGGCCACGCTGGCCAGGGCACTGGTGGCCACGAGAGGAGGGGGTGCTCCCCAGGCCCCCCCAAGGAGGGGACAGCTCACAGCACCAGCTCCATCCCCCCAACTCACCATCTCCTCATCTTCGGCCAGCACCAGGTCGTAGGCGCTCAGGGCCACACAGAAAATGATGGCCGTCACCCCCTCGAAGCAGTGGATCCACTTCTTCCGCTCCGAGCGCTGGCCACCCACGTCGAACATCCTGGGCAGGGAGGCAGCATGGTGGTGGGCGGCAGCTCCCGGCCCCACCACCCTTGCCCTGCTCCCTGCCTCAGTTTCCCCGGCTGCTCAGAGCAGGAGCTGCACCAGGAAAAGGCACTGGTGTGGGCAGAGCGCGGTGCCTCTGCCCCAGGGGTTTTGCTGGTGCCATGGATCTGCCCCGGCATCCGCTGCCCATCCCAGGTGGTGTCCAGGCTTATTTTCCAGCTGGAGCAAATCCCCACCATGAGCCAGGGCAGGATCAGGCCACCTTTCCCAGACTGTGTCAGCACAATGCTCCCTGAAGCCAGGCTCCAGGAGATGCTCTCGGAGACCCGCTCTGGAGTAGGCACTGCAGGGTTTTGCCGGAGACCTTGGACCAAGGGGAGCTGCGGTGCTTGGCGGAGTGGCTCGGGGCTCAGAGGATGATCCTGGTGCACCATGTGCCTCTCCCACTACAGGCAGCAGAGGATGCCCTGCCTCCATGGAGGAGAGCCCAGCAGCAGCGCCACGTCCACCGCCAGCCGCTTGGCTGGCGGGGAGGCTTCCAAAGCACGGCCCTGGCAACGTGCAACCAAGCACCGCCATCCCACCAGGTTGGCACATGGGTCCCTGCAAGCCCCCTGCACTCGGGGAGGACCCCAGCAGATCTTTCCGCCGGCAGCTCTGTTGCCAAGTGACTAAATCCCCCAGGATGTGCGCGATGCCAGATTTTGCCTCAGAAACCGGAGCCCTGACTATTTCCCATGGGTTTTTGGTGGAAAGTAATGCCAGGCTGGTTCCCGACCCCGAGACCCCCGGCTCCCACCCAGCGCCCTTCCCGCGGCGGAAGCGGCGTCACGGCACCCGGAGACGCCTTCCCCCTTCCTCTCCTCGCCAGAGGCTGGATCCGCCCCCGGGCTGAGCCCTGTGAGGCGTTTTTGAGGCTGCTCCAGCTATTTCGGCGGTTTCCGCTCTTTCTGAGGCAGCAGCTCCCGCCATGAGCAAAGCCAGAGGGGCTTTGCATGTGGAGGGGGGAAAGAGGGGA